AACAACAAGCAGAAGAAGAGAGACAAGAATGATAAACATAAAAAGGAACACAGCAGTCCGCAGTCTGCGCACTGAGAGATAAAAGGAAGACGAAGAGGAGAAGAAGAAGAAGACAATGAAGAAGAAAGAAGGAGAAAGACAAGCAATGGCCGATTGCTCTTCACACGCAATTCACAGGACATTGCAGCCAAGAATATACAAGCGTGTACTCATGCTCGAAGAAGAAGACGATGAAGAAATGACGACGATGATGATGATGATGACGATGATGATGACGATGATAATGATTATACAGTCAATACTCGCACGCTGATGAAAGGAGCGATCACGATTACGACGGCACTGCGACAGGGTGAACGAGAGGATTCCCACCTGCGGCTTCTCTTACCACGTCACGATAAAAGAGGAGGGAGAAGATATGCATGGAGTAGCCGAGCCGATGATCATATTGACAACAACGTCGAGTGCAGATGACGATGATGAAAATAAGAAGAACAAGATAAGATACACTAGACGCGCGAAAGAAAGACGGGGGGGGCCGTAGGAAAATGAGAAGGCGGCAAATTAACCGCGGGGCAGAGGAAAGATCCGAGGACGGAACACGACGCGGCGCAAAAGCGGGGGGGAGGGATGAAACGGCGGAGATACGAGAGGCGGGCACAACAGAAAAATAAAAAGCTGGGTGCGACGATGACGAAGAAGAAGACGAAGGAGGAGGAGGAGGAGGAAAAGGATGATGACCATTATAGAAGACGACGAACAGTGCTGAGGGAAAGGAGGTGGAGAAGAAGATGCTGCTGCTGCTGCTCATGATGATGATAGCGATGATACGAAGACCACGAACACCATTTTTTCGGTACCTGGCAAAAACTGACACACAGCGTTCAGTCCCGAACAGGAGGAGTGGAGAAGGCGTGAGGTCGGCATGGAGATCGGGCACCACCTCCTCCAAAGGCTGGAGCTCCACAGCGGGAAGGTAGAAACCCGAGATATACCGTCCGTTAACAACGAAAGAAGAAGAAGAAGAAGAAGAGTGATAAACAGAGGCCATGAACTGTCCTTCGTGCATGCCTGAACAGAAATTTCCATGCTCAACCGCACACACTGAACTCAGAAGAAACGCGCTCATTGCCCTACGCACGTTTCAGACAGGAAGCGCACCTGGCACTCATCAGGGGCCTTCTCCTCGGATCCGCCTTACGGCACCCACCTACTTGTCCTGCCACTGAGCAATGAGGGCCGACGGCCTTGCCCTCAAATTAATACAGAAGAAGAAGAAGAAAAGAAGAAGAGCAGCAGCAGGCGGAGGAGGAGGAGGAGGAGGAGGAGGACGAGGAGGAGCCGGACGTAGTGATCATCAGGGCGAAACCGGAGATATGCCGTCCTTTTCCAGATCACAAAGAGAGAGAGAGAGAGAGAGAGAGAGAGAGAGAGAGAGAGAGAGAGAGAGAGAGAGAGAGAGGGGAACAATACAGACTAGGGGATATACAATCAGGTTGTTCCTTCTCCTCCAAGTCTTCATGCAGGTTTTTGACATTCTTGTGTTTGATAAGAAATTGAAAAAGTCTAACTTGCATGGGCAGGTGGGTGCAGTACAGGGGCAGGCAGGTGGGTGGGAGATCGCACAGGGGAAGGCTGGTGGGTGGGTGATTCGTTGAGAAAAGATACGAAAACATACTTGGTGACTTCCAACAGCGACATGTTGCGAACCAGTCCACCAACTCCCTGTGGCCCGAGTCTGGAGATACGACCATCTGTGGGACACCGAAGAACACTGTCATTCTGCAGAGTTGATAGGAGGCATGCCTCACAGAAGGAGTGTCCACATGCTGGCAGGATGCGCGGTGAATGCTTCAAGGTGTCGTAATCATGCTTACAACTCGGACACTGCCACATTATGACAACACTCTTCCAAGTGCTTCCAGAGAGCTCACAGCAGCAGTTACAGTGATGTTTGCCTCTCCACCTCTCCCTCTTCCTCTTCCTCTTCCGCTTCCTCTTCCTCTTGCTCCTCAATGTTCAAATTCAGTAGCAGAAGTTGCAGGCAAGCCTCCCGATTTAGAACCAGAAGCCACTCCAATGTCTAGCCTCTCTATCCTTGTGACTCTCAGAGTCCAGTATTCTCCCTCCTCTTGGTCAAGGGACCTTTCATCATCAGATGTTTGTCAGGAGTCATGCAAATGTCACCCAAAAAAAAGAGAAAATAAAGAAGAAACAGATCATTCAATGGAACCCATCAAACAATGCTGCGTGTTAGCATGGCTCGGTCAGTCGACTAACTGCCCTACCTGACTGTGTGTCGTAGTAGAAGCACCTCCACCTCCAACCCCACCTCCTCGGACTTCTCCACGTTGTCTGGCTCCTCGTTATCACTTTGTGGCCATTATCACGACTTGACTTGAGAACCGCCCTTTCTTTGTGGTTTCGATGACAAGGTCAGGTCATTATTTCTCATTCGCAAGAGCAATTCCCTAAGCCCTCCCAACAATCTCTATGGAACAACAACAATATTGCACACTCTCAACTTTTTGGCCGCCTAAGACTACTGTAAAGTCTACTACCAAAATAAAGAATGGTCCGCACCAGCTTGGCATAGCTCAGTCGGTACACCCCTTAGCTGTTGAAATACAGACTCAAGTTCAAACTCCACTGGAAGCAGATGAGTGAAATACTTGCTACAATTATTCTGAATAACCTAGGGCCGGTCAGTTCGATGATAATATGGTTAATATCTCAAGGTTGTCGCCCTTTCGAAGGAAGGAGGAGAATAAAAAGAAAAAGAGGAAAATAAAGCATGGTTTGGTCGTAGTCGCTCTCATACATTGCTACAGTGTCAGAGTACTGTACAGTCTACTCACTTTTTCAGACTCAGCTCCTTACTGAGTAGGCAACTGACTGCTGCACTCTCCTCCTCTGTACTCCCAGCATGAGGGAGCAGTCTCCCACTCTCTACTCCCAAGGTGAGGGAGCAGAGTCTCCTCCTCTCTATTCCTAACGTGAGAGAATAGTCACCTCCTCTCTTGTCCCAATGTAAGGACTTGAAATGAGGCATTATGCCACAACATTACCTGGAGAAGAAGACGGAGAAAAAGCTACGCACCCCCTCCCTCCAGCTTCGTGAGCATAGCCCAGAATATTGGCAGTTGAAGGGGTTACTGATTGATGTATTCAATACTATTCATATTAAACAAAGAAAGAAAGAAAAAAGTCTCTCTTAACATCAAAGCTGTATGCACAACTACCTTGGAAGTGCAATACAAGACTTCTTCCCCCTTGGTTAGAACTTAAAGAAATACATTCAAATAATCAATAGGACTTCAGCTGTCAGAGAGAGGGCGAAGACGCTGCCTGCTTCACGATGCGATCATCTTGACCCTTTTCCATTTTTCCTTCTCACCCGGCTCACCGGCAAAATCAATTTGTAATCTGTCCAAGCAGGGACCAAGCAGGGCCGCACCGAAGATATCTCAGTACCTAAGAGAGTGATGAGTGAGTAAAGGAAATGCATTCAGTCACACACAAGAACTTGAGGACTGGCTGTCACTGCTGATTACTTCAATTAAACATGTCAACGTTGTATCGAATCTATCGATCAATCAATGCATATAGTCAATGCTGTGCTGACCATTCAGCATATGGTCCATGCTGTGTCGATCCTTCTACCATTAAGACTGATCTATTGTGTCGAGGTGTCACCGTGTGTGGTAAAAAAAAAAATGCTTTGTTGACGATTCGCCCTACAGTCAACGCAGTATCAACAACCATTTTATTATCATAAGGGCCGGCAAAATATTGGGTCGAGTCTGTCGACCAATCACTGCATATCAATGCTGTATGTATCATTCAGCATATGGCCAATGCTATGTTGACTGTTCTATCATAAGGCCAATATTGTGTTTGCAACCAGCGCATATGGTCAATGCTGTGTTGACCATTCAGCATGTGTTCAAAGCTCTGTCAACTGCAGAGGCCAAGTCTTGTCCATCTCACGGCATAAATAAAGAGTCGGCAATGCGTTAGACAGTTTGAAGTTTGAACAAACTGCAGTTTCTGGAAAGTATGCCTTTCAGCGGGCAAATTTGCATGCCAATGTTGCCAAGGAGGCATTCTAAAACCATACTCACGCACGTTGATTTTTGTGGACATATGCGAGCGCTATTAAGCGCCAGATTAAGTCCACAAAGTACAAGTCTGAGCATAGACCTAACGACTTACTGCAGCGTCTTCCCGCTGACTTCACTTACAGCAGAGCGTGAAAACTAGATATATCATATACGCCGTTAGCAAATACAACAGTGGGAAACAGATGTTTCACAACCCACCTACACAAACCACCTAGGTAGCCCTGCTGCAACTGAACAGGGCCTGAAAGCACGCCTGCAAAGCAACGAACGAGTTCAACCACATTACAAAATGGGTAACAAATATTTCGACAAGCTTCCCACGTGCCCCTGCAAAAGAGGGCAAACAGGGCCCCAACACACCCCTCTATAAAGCAAACCAAAACAACACTGATCGCGTCATGTCATGTTATGTCATGTGCATAATACTGCATACTGTATTTCTGCCGTGTTTTGTACATGCAACCCCCACCATATCACGGGGCTGATGAGCTCTGAAAAGGTTCCCCGGTGAGACCGTAAAATGAAAGTCAGCTAACACAACTGCTAACTGCAGCCAATCAGAATCAAGCGATGGCAGCTATGTAGACAAAGTTCACCACCACCATATTATGGGGCTGAGGAGCTCTCAAAGAGTTCCCATGTGAGATCGTAACCTAAAGGCATACGGCTGACCCATACTAACATGCATTTGGCTTCACGATGGGTCAGACACGGATCCCATCAATGACAGAAAAAACAACTTCAACCAACCTCCTAGGAGTCAAACTCAAACGCAGACGCCGTCAACGGTGGTGATGATTTCAACTTCCTGCTGATAAAGTGCGTACGCATTTGCTTAATACCATGGGTATACTGCACGGTGTACACTAGTGATTTTTCCTACTCGTGGCTACGAGGCCAACAGCATAGCGGCCAAAAGTGTGACCCTCAATCACACCCACTCACTACTTCTTGGTGGAATTCCAGAGGGGGATATTCCTTTTGGCAAACTCAAAGCCTGTTCTAATTGCCAGAGAAGCTATCCTCCGCCTCCTCCTCCTCCTCCTCCTCCTCCTCCTCCTCCTCCTGCCTCTCCTTCTGCTGCTGCTGCTGCTGCTGCTGCTGCTGATGTTGATGATGATGATGATGATGATGATGATGAACAACAGATGGATGAATTCAGAACTTTGCAAAGGCACCCAGGAAAGAGAGCCTCAGTGCAGGACAACCATTCACGGTGATATAAAGCACGAAAGAATCGTCTGGCCCAAGGCTCCTGACTCCTGAGGAATGATCTCCACCTGCAACCAAAGTTTTTGACAAAGAAAACTTGCGAAAGTAAGCAAGCAGTACAATTGCAGCTTCCACAAAAAAGAAAAGAAAAGAAAAGAAAAGAACTGGTTGCCGCTGAAAGTCTCCAAGTGTTTGCCGCATTCTCATTGGCTCGTGGAGGTTGTGTGACGGCAATGCTGCTTTCTCATTCATCCGTGGCCACAGTGTGATGTGTCGGCCTACCACTGTGTGTGCCCAGGGCGCAACCAACCAGGGCCCTAGGATCAACTATGCAGCACAGCTGTTGCTTATCGAAGGAGCCAGGAAAGGCTCACGTTGCTTTGTAACCAACCAGCGTGCTGCAACTGTCTGATACCCCACATATGGAAAAATGTTGAAAAGAAGCCTCATGTGAATATTCAAGCCCGCCTTCACTTAGGGCGGGCACAATGCTTGCTGGGGGCCACAGCCCGCTCACTTGCATTCTGCGAGGGCCCCGTGAGGGCTCAGTCCTCGCATATATATGATGAGTCGGTGAAACTCTGACGAAACAGTTTGTCACAGCCCCTCGTTTGTTGTCCTCTTCTCCCTCTCTGCCTACGGTTTACCAGGCAGCTCTATATATATCGTCACAAACAGAACTGCCCGGTAAAACCGTAGGCAGAGAGAGAGAAGAGGACAACAAACGAGGGGCTGTGACAAACTGTTTCG